AGTCTGCCTATTCCTCGGAAGGTGATGAAAGTTCGAGAAGGAGGCAAGATGGTGTATTATTTATGAAGGTGCGGGGAGTCGGTTTCTTCAGTCACCGACTCCGAGTCAAAAGAAGAGCCTCCTGACAATGATATAGTAATAAAGCCTGAAGTGGCTCCAGAATGTATGCAAGATGGGCCGAAGCCTCAGCCCGAACAACTTATTGAAATAGATCTGAGTGATGGACAAGATGCACCGAGGCCGGTATTCGTAAGTTCGAGCCTTAGCCCAGAAAAGCGGGAACAGTTGTTAAAGTTGATAAGCCGATACTCAGATGTGTTTGCTTGGTCATATAAGGAAATGCCCGGACTAGATCCTGACCTAGTCTCCCACTATCTTGAAAATGTTTCTAGTTAACCACAAGCTACCCACCTTCTCGGCATTAATAGAAGCAGCTCGGAACATTAGCATTCCTCAGGCTCAGGAGTCCGGATTTAAGGCCAGTTACAAGACTAGTTTCAAATCGTCTCGTGGACCTATTGTTGCTGCTGCCTCTGCCCCGGATACCCGAAATTCACAAGGAGGAGGTCATAGAGGCCAGAAGAGGAAGCAATATAATGGTGAAAAGGGGAATGTTTCTTATCCATGTGGAATCGAGGAAGTAAAAGCTCTAGTTAAGGCATGGGTGGCTGACGGAGAGCTAAAATTGCCTTATGTTGAAGAAATGCCATCAAAAAAGGACCGTGAGAGCCCTGAATTTTGTGTCTACCATCGTTGATCTCCTCTTCGGGGTTTTCTCATCCTCGGAGAAGTCTCCTCCTCGGAGAGGTCACCTCCTCGGACAAGGTGGTTAGAGAGAATATCTCCCATGTGCCTTGCACATGGGCTCCATCCTACATCATGAGGTGCCTATAAATAGCACCCACCCATAGCTTTACAAGGGATGGATTTTGGAGAGTTTTTATCTTTTGGGAAAGAACTAATTTCCCTTCTCCATTATCAACCTTGAGAGTGAAAGTGGGAGATCAATGGGAGAGCCTTGCCATTATTCTATTCTCTAGCCATTTTGCCTTCTTCTTCACCCAATCTCTTATCTCCATCATCTCCTTTGTTGTTGTGTTCCTAAGTTGAGATTATTGAAGAATCTAAGCCTCTCATCATATTCTAGAGAATTCGATCTTCGAATTTTCCAACTCCTTTCTTGAACCCTCTCCTACATACACAATCTTACAGCTTGAAGTCTTTGATTGATTCTGGTAAGAGAGAGTATGAGACATAGGTTTGGAAGAGCCGTGGAGAGGCCATGTTTGGCAGATCAAACTTTCCATTTTTTCTGCAAACCTGTAAAAGAAAATGACACACAAATAAAGATGGGGAAATTACTTGTCAGTGCATGGCTAAAAAAGTATTTTCAAAGTAGTAATATTTTTGTATAAATATTAATAAGTAAAATTATAATTTTTCCATGATTTTGTAATTAAATTTTAAAGACATCACTAACAAGGAATTTTTCCAATAAAAATTTCATACGTAATTTTCAGTAAAAATGATGTGATATTGATAATTTTTAAATTATAAATCTTAGTGCTGGATCTTCCCTTTTGAAATAATGAAATCTTAATTTATACAAAATAATCTATTGGGACAGGCTGCTGTTGGGCTTTGTCTCCTATCATACTTTGAAGATTTGAATAACTTATTTTTGCATAATTGCACATATAAATTATTTATGTAAAAAATTATATTAATTTGATACTCATAATTACAAGGTTTGATGATATTTGTCTACAAAAAATGTCAATTTTTAGCTCTGGTATCATTTTGGTTCGTATATTTTTAGCTTTCGTTTTGGAAGAATTTTTTTAGCCTAATTTTTTGATTTTTTTTTTTTTGCTAATTTAGCATGGCTAAATTAATTCAGTTTAGAAAGAACTTTTTAGTTTTTTTTACTTTTTTTGCCTTTTTAGAAAGAAAAAAAGTGAAATAATTAGAATTTAGACGTAACATTTTATCTTATTGATTTATATAGTCTATTTTGTCTTTTTGTGCCTTTTTAGTCCTAACCTAAGCCCAACTCACTTGCTAATTGACTCAATTTTGACCTTTAATTTTACATTTTTATCAATTTGATTAAATTGATAACGTCTTTAGGATTTTTGATGAAAAATGATCACTGAGTTGGTAAAGGTTAACTAACTAAATGGATTATGTTTATAATTTTATTTTTTAAAATATGACACATACAGCTTATGTAAATATTTTTTATTAAAAAATTATTAACAGATGTAACTAATTGGATCAAATTAAGACAAAATAATAAATTTAAAATCAAAATTGGGTCGATCAAAATTACAGAATTCAAAATGATGCAATAATCAAAATAAAGAGACTACTGATATAATTTATCCAAAAATAACAACAATGATAATTCTAAAAATAAACCGTTCATTTTCTTTACAAACAAAACTGCTAAAATCATGATCTATATTTTTTAGATTGAGTTATGCTTGAGACCCTAAATAATCTACCAAATTTTCTATCAAGCTTCTCACATGAATGTGAGACCACATATGTGAATTATATGGATCCCACACTCATGTAAGAGATTTGATAGAAAATTTAATAGATTATTTGGGATGTATTGCATTTTCTTTTTTAGATTAATCTGATTTTTTTTTTAATTTTTTTTTTTTTATGATCATCAAAATCCGCACATGATATGTCTCATAAAGCCCAATAGCTTAGCACCTCTGGTAATGGAGAGAATCCCATATCCAATTCTTAATTTATTTGTATATCATTACTCTAACCTGTAGTTCTAAAGACGGCACGAGGTCGTTGGGGTGGTGGTATCTCAAGGGATCATCTGCATCCTCATCATCTTCATCGCCGCCTTCGCAGTCACCACCACCATCACCACCACCGCGGTGGATGATGGAGGCAACAAGGGCCTTGAGCCAAGTGGAGCCAGTCTTGGGGGAGGCGGCTACGAAAACGTCGTCATCGAGCGCGGTGAAGCTTGATTTGGCAGCCATGGCTGCTTCCAGAACAATATCTTGGTACCAGAAGCCCTCCCACTGGTAGAGATCAACAAGTCCCCACCAATTCAACTTGGGAAGGCCAGTGAAAGGAGATGAAATAGTAGTAGTACAAGTAGTGTTTCGTGGATTGGGTTTGGAGGTTGCCATTGAAAGTGAAAATTGTGCAAGAAAATGCGAAATAGTTTTTTACTTTCTTAGGTTTTGCAGCAAGTGAACCCCCAAGATGGAATTACCCAAAAAAACCCCAACATGGAAATTGCACGAAAACATGGTCACTTTATAGATATAAGAAAATGATAGTGGTGGCTTCTCCACCGTCCTTGATCAAATTGAAGAGATATTTGGCTTATTGGGTTCACTTTTTAAGTCTTATTTAACTATTCAAATTATTCATATTTTAAAATTTGTTAAGTATATCATCGATACAAAAAATCTAATCAATCGGATGACGGCAACTAGATATACACTGAAGGGTATTGTTCGACCCATGGGCTCTATTACAGATCTCGTTTCTATTATCCGAATTGTTCATTTTGTAAAATTGTTTGTATATGTGAGAGGGGGATTTTCGTAATCTCGGCTTGGGCCGAGGTTTTGGCCGGGCTGAATGTGGTCCAATCGTATTTGGGTCGAGCTGGGTTGGGCCGAGCCGTGGTGAAGCTTGCTCGGCTGAAGTCCAGACCAGAGTTGGCTGAGAAGATCCTCTGCCAGCTTGTCTTCTCTTGTTCGCTCTTTTTTTCGGTGATCGTGATCTCGGCCGAAGTCCAGACCAGAGTTGGCCGAGAAGATCCTCTGCCAGCTTGTCTTCTCTTGTTCGCTCTTTTTTTCGGTGATCGTGATCTGCCGTAGACCGGCCTAACTTGTCTAGAGCACAGTCGCACCGGAGTGCTGCTGAGCTCGGTTGTGATGGAGCTCGGCGAGTGGCACTGTTGAGCTCGATAAGTAGCTCGGTCGAAGGAGGCTGAGATGATTGTCTGCCAATCTGGGTCTTATGGTCGCGCATGTAGCTCGGCGGGAAGGTCTCCCTTGGACCGGCCTAACCTGTCTGGAGCTCGGCCGTACTGGGGTGCTACAGAGCTCGGTTGTGATGGAGCTCAGCGAGTGACATTGTTAGGCTCGATAAGTAGCTCGGTCGAAGGAGGCCGGGTGATGCCGTCGGGTTGCCGAGTTCCCGCTAATGTTGTCTGGTGGTTTGGTTAGGTGGTGTTCGCTGGATTTGTGCTGACGGATAGGAAAGCAGCACCATGTGTTAAGAGACTAACGGGAGCAGATTTGAAGTGCAGAGAGTATATAAGCTTGACTGCGCCCCCCATGCTGGGGATGGATCATTTTGTAAGAAACACTTGAACGATCAACTCTCTCCTCTTTCTCTCTCTATATATCCCTGAGTGTGTGCTAACTTGACCGTCGGAGGGGTTTTCCGGCCACACACCGCCGGGTAGCTCACCGCCGTTATGTTCGCAGGTCGATCGGACAGACGAGGAGCTTGGTAGAAAAGAGTACAGGCGTGTTAGAATATTTGCTCCCCGTACAATTGGCGCCGTCTGTGGGAATCTTGATAGACAAAACCTTGTCTTCCAAGCTCATCTGATCACCTCCTATGGCGAACAACAACGAGATACCGTTGTCGGCCATCGACGAAGTTACCGCGGAATCAGCCAGACGGAGAGACAGACTCCCCGCCATTCCTCCCATGGCGGACCTAGAGACTTCCCCAGGAGGACATTCAAGAGACGCGTGGTATAAGCGCGGAAGAAATTTCGGTCATTCTCGGAGCCCAGCGGACACCGGCGGCGGAGAGAATCACACGCCAGACGTCTGGAGCACAAGTTGAGGGACCAAGACGCCGTCATCCGAAGAATGGGGGCAGAGATGGAAGATCTCTAGCGGCATGTCAAAGGGAAGGGTGTTGCTGGAGTGGGAGACCACAGTGAGCGCACCCAACCACGCCGTTCAGGCAGTCAAAGCTAAAGGCACACTCCCTCCGTTTCGGTCACTAGAAGTTACAGGGTTGGAGATTCCAACGCGCCTGTAGAGAAGTCAAGCGCGCAAGATAGTACCTACATTCCCTCACATCCGGCGATAACGTCGAGGTATTCCTACTCCGCTCATTCAGAGGACTTGCAGGTAGTTTTGAAAGAGCAGGCTCGCTAGCGAGAGAACCAAAGGGTGCCAGCGTTCCAGGGGCTATCTTATGGGGGTCACGCCAGTGAAGAAGTCCTAATGCCACCACCGCGCCCAGCTGAGCCCCTCATTCTAGACACAGATTTGGCGAGGCTGAGTGCCACTTGCTTCTCCCTAGAGATAGATATCGCACCGATCCCAGCGGGCTTTCACCGGCCCAAATTTATGCTCTACGACGGAAAGACCGATCCATACATGCATGTAAGTCACTTCTGACAGGTCATGGCTGGACATAGGCGGAATGACGCTCTTATGTGCCTTGCCTTCCCGTCGAGCTTGGGTGAGCTGGGCTTGAAATGGTTTGAGAGGCTGCCGGAGGGAAGCATCGAAAGGTGGCGGCAGTTGGCAAAAGCATTTGTGACTCGATTCAAGACCAACACCAAAACGCCAAAGGAGATGGACCATCTTCTCAGTGTCAAAATGGAGTTGAGCGACACACTCAAGGTATATAACTCCGGATACTGGGAAACCTTCAACGAGATTTTAGATTGCTCGATCAACCTGGCAATCACCCAATATAAGCGTGGTCTCCAGGTCGGACATAAGCTGCGGGACTCGCTTACCATGAACCAGCCGACATCCATGGGCCAACTAATGCAGCGCATCAATGAGCACATCCGAGTCGAAGACGACGCAGCCGCAGCTACCGTGATGGCAAGTTCAGTAGTAGAGAATAAGAGAGTAGTGCGAAAGGTTCACGTAGTCAGACAAGATGATGGCCATGCAAACCACCCTGGAAGAGATATAGGGAGTTCGATTTTTGGAAGACGTCTATAAGAAGGCCGAGGAAAAGGGGCATAAAACTCGCAGAATGTGAATAGCTGATCCATTTTCAAAACATCGAACTCTGCCAATCTAAAGTTTTGCTCTTAGTTCTATTTTTGTAACCCTTTTTGCCATTGGCGCAATGAAACAAGCAGACCATTTTCTTGAGAATTGTTGTATTTTTGCCTCGCCAAGCGGATTTAGTGCGGTCCAAGGGGCAACTAACAATCATTTTGACGGAAAGATCAAAATTCCTTGCAGGGCGGATTTTGCTCGGCAAGAGATTTGTTGATGGTTTTGATCAACTTTAGAATTCCTTGCCGGTCGGATTTTGCTCAGCAAGAGGTTTGTTGATGGTTTTGATCAACTTTAGAATTCTTTGCCGGTTGGATTTTGCTCGACAAGAGGTTTGTTAATGATTTTATCAACTCTGGAATTCCTTGTCGGATGAATTTTACTCGGCAAGAGGTTTGTTGATGGTTTTAATCAACTTTAGAATTCCTTGCCGAGCTGATCTTGCACGCCAAGAAGGGAGTCGCGGAGCGGACCTTGCTCGCCGACCTTGGAGTTCCTTGCCGAGCTGATCTTGCTCGCTAAGAAGAAAGTCGCCGAGCTGACTTTGCTCACCGACCTTGGAGTTCCTTGCCGTGCTGATCTTGCTCGCCAAGAGACAAGTCGCCAAGGAGACCTTGCTCGCCGACCTTGGAGTTCCTTGCCGAGCTGACCTTGATCGCCAAGAAACAAGTCGCGGAGCAGACATAGCTCGCCTTGGAGTTCCTTGCGGGGCTGACCTTGCTCGCCAAGAAGAGAGTCGCGGAGTGAACCTTGCTCGCCGACCTTGGAGTTCCTTGCCGAGCTGACCTTGCTCGCCAGGAAGAAAGTCACCGAGCTGACCTTGCTCGCCAACCTTGGAGTTCCTTGCCGAGCTGACCTTGCTCGCCGAGAAGAAAGTCACCGAGCTGACCTTGCTCACCGACCTTGGAGTTCCTTACCGAGCTGATCTTGCTCGCCAAGAGACAAGTCGTGGAGCGGACCTTGCTCGCCTACCTTGGAGTTCCTTGCCGAGCTGATCTTGCTCGCCAAGAGAAAAGTCGTCAAGCGGACCTTGCTCGCCGACCTTAGAGTTCCTTGCCGAGCTGATCTTGCTCGCCAAGAAGAAAGTTGCGGAGCGGACCTTGCTCACCTTCTTTGGAGTTCCTTGTCGAGCTGATCTTGCTCGCCAAGAAGTAAGTCGCGGAGCGGACTTTGCTCGCCGACCTTGGAGTTTCTTGCCGAGCTGATCTTGCTCGCCAATAAGAAAGTTGCGGAGCGGACCTTGCTCATTTTTTTTGGAGTTCCTTGCCGAGCTGATCTTACTCGCCAAGAGACAAGTCGCGGAGCGGACCTTGCTCACCTACCTTGGAGTTCCTTGCAGAGCTGATCTTGCTCGCCAAGAGACAAGTCGCGGAGCGGACCTTGCTCGCCGACCTTGGAGTTCCTTGTCGAGCTGATCTTGCTCTCCAAGAAGCAAGTTGCGGAGCGGACCTAGCTCACCTTGGAGTTCCTTGCCGAGCTGAAGTTGCTCGCCAAGAAGGGAGTCGTGAAGCGGACCTTGCTCGCAGACCTTGGAGTTCCTTGCCGAGCTAACTTTGCTTGCCAAGAAGAAAGTCGCTGAGCTGACCTTGCTCGCCAACCTTGGAGTTCCTTGCCGAGCTGATCTCGCTCGCCAAGAGACAAGTCGCGGAGCGGACCTTGCTCACCTACCTTGGAGTTCCTTGCCGAGCTGATCTCGCTCGCCAAGAAGGAAGTTGCGGAGCGGACCTTGCTCACCTTCTTTTGAGTTCCTTGCTGAGCTGATCTTGTTCGCCAAGAAGGAAGTTGCGGAGCGGACCTTGCTCGCATTCTTTGGAGTTCCTTGCCGAGCTGATCTTACTCGCCAAGAAGGAAGTTGCGGAGCGAACCTTGCTCGCTTTCTTTGGAGTTCCTTGCCGAGCTAATCTTGCTTGCCTTGGAGTTCCTAAACCGAGCGAAGTGGATCACCGAGCAAAAAGTATAGTCTGGCCTTGTAATGTAATCCCAGTCACGCTAGCGCAAACAGAATTAAGAGGCAACTGAGAGGGGGATTTTCGTAATCTTGGCTTGGGCCACAGTTCTGGCCGAGTTGAATGTGGTCCAAGCGTATTTGGGCCGAGCTGGGTTGGGCCGAGCCGTGGTGAAGCTTGCTCGGCTAAAGTCCAGACCAGAGTTGACTGAGAAGATCCTCTGCCAGCTTGTCTTCTCTTGTTCACTCTTTTTTTTAGTGATCGTGATCTGCCGTAGACCGGCCTAACTTGT